TGTGCATTTGACAGGTAGGTTTTTTCTTCCTCCATGGGAGAGGTTTGTGTTCTGAGCCAGCATTTGTTTCAGTGCAGGGTATAATGGCCCACATGCTTGGGAGAGAAACAGAGTGTGATAGTGGTGGTCTGCATCAGGAGAGCTAGGATAACAAGTATAAGAGCAGTTGTTCATGTTGGAACTGAAAGTTCTTTTCATGTCTCTTAAGGGAAAAGCTGCCTACCACACTTGAGAAAGCTTCTTGGCTAAGGTGTGTCTGGGGCCAGCACGGTGTCCTCGGGTCCCCTTTTGAATCTGGACTCCTCATCTCTGTTTTAACAATGTTTACATATGTTTGCCTTCAGTACAGATGGCCAGGTAGTTGGTCCAGCCTCCTCCACAGACATCAATCAGAAATTTGCACCTGAAATCCAGGCTTCCCAGCCAGATCCGAATGACTCCAGGAACCTTTCATAAAGTTTTACATCAATCGTAACAACTATTTGTTGAATATTTACTGTGTTCCAAGAAAGATAATTTTCACTATGTGTATATTTTCTAATTTCTACAGAAACCCTGTAAATTAGATATTATATCTCCAGTTTGGGAAGGAGAAAAACCAAAGTAATTTAACCAAGTTCTAACAACAGGTAAATGGCAAAATCAAGACTCAGATGTAATCCATGTTCTGGTTCTTTCACTCTAAAGTGAGCTGGAGAATCTTAGTTTTACCACTTCCGAGCTGTGTGGCATTGGGAAGTCATTCATTCTTTCTGATATTCAGTTTCCACATCTGGAAAATAAGAGACTAACAATGGATGCCTCCAGGGCAGATGGGTAGGGAGCCTCCTGGGACGCAGGACCCAGAGCCACTTCCCTGGCTGTGTTTAATTGCTTCCCCATTCCTCCTGGATCTTTCAACCTCTTTTCATCCTTGATTTTTTTCATGGTTGCTTATTTTTGTTGGTAAAATTGCTCAGCTGACTTAAATTTCATCCAACAGACATTTAGTGAATCTCCACCAAGGACAGGAACTGTGCTGAGTGTTGAACATAATCGGTGGCTGAGTTCAATTTCTAACAACCCGAGTGTATCCTTTTTTAGCTAAACTTTGTTGAGAGTTTACTATAGCTCAACTGTTCTAAATGCTTTACATGTATAACTCATTTAATCCTCATAATAACACTTTGAAGTATTATGACTCCCATCACATAATTGAGGCAACAGAGGCACAGAGAGGTCAGGTTACTTGCCAAATATGACACAACTTATAAATGACAGAGCTGGGACTCAAATCCAGCCAAGTTGGCTCCAAAGAGCATACTCCTAACTCCGAAGCTCTGAGGTCCATCATCTTGTGTTTGCAAGTTAACATGAGAAAGTCACACTGGAGGGGAACACAAAGAAACATCTGCAACAGGCACTAAAATAACTCTTGAATACCATCTATACACATAATGTGCTGTTGGCTGTATGGGGATACAAAGACACACAAAAACAATGATCCACCCCCAGGAAAACTAGATTGTGAATCTAGCAAAGAGCATAAGTGTGTGATGACTTATAAAGCAGGCAATGTGTGAGAAGTGCTAAAGTGCCAATAGAAAGTCCTCTGAACTTCACAGAGAGATCAGTTCTGGTTTGGTTACTGAGAAACACTTATTGATGGGGCAGTGTGTCATCTGTGCCTTGAAAGAAGGGTCAAATTTCAGTTAGATAGAGAGGAGGTAAAGACAAGGATTTTCTTGGCAGAGGAAAAGACAGGAACTCTGGAGTGAAGGTGAGATGGAACGAGGCATTTCTTCCACAGTCAGCAGGAGCCCCTCTTGCTGGGTCCTTGAGCACCCATGGGGACCAAAGGGACACCAGGCTTTAAAATCTGTGAGTAGGGAGGAACACTGGGTCCAAACCCCAGCACAGACCCTTGAGTGCAAATTTCCTATTTCGTGGCCACAGAGGAGAGGCAGAGTGAGTGAGCACCTTCAGTGTGGCAAGGCTGAGTGAGGAGGGAGTGGAAGCAGTTTGGGCTTCTTTTAGCAGGACATGGACATGAGCAGCTCTGAGGAATGTGAGGATCCAGGTGCCATCAGCAGGGATGAAGAGCCAGAAAGGAAAAAAGACAGGAAAACAGTTGTCTTACGGGAGCAGTGATAAGCTCAAGGACAAAACAGAGAAATTGATGAAGCCTGAGGCAAAGGTGATGATTTCAAGTGGGGCAGCTCAAATATTGATACAGGGAAAGAATGGTCTGAGGATTCCTTCTGGGCATCCCAACCCCAGTCTGCTTTGACATTAATATCATTACAAGGGGAATGCATTAATTTGGCAAAGGGTGGGATGCAAAGAGATAGGTGAAGACCATGGGCAGAACCCTGAGGACTGGCCACTCTCATGGGGCAGGAGGGTGAGAGGGGTTACCCAAAGCAGGAGGAGGACAGGAAGGGCAGGGGCATAGGTGTCTCAGAAGTCATGGGAAGAAGAGACATGAGAATAGTGAGGGCTCAAGAGTGCAAACTGCACAGAGATGTCTAGAAAGATGAAGACTGAAAACAAGTTATTGGCTTCAGTATTTAGGAGATGATCAGTATTCTTTAAGGGGCTATTCCAGTAAAACAGGCCTAGGTTGGTGAACCCTGGCAAGAGTGGCAAGCTCAGGGGCTGGTTAAGTAGAGGAACTGGTGTGTCATCCACATAGAGATAGGAGGAGTGGCCCAAATAGTGCAGGAAGTGAAGAGACGTAGATGAGAGTAGTTTAAACATGCAAAAAGCTTCAAAGTGATGACTGGAGAGGGAAAAGGATTGGTAGAGGGCAAGACCCTGAAAGCAGGGGTGATATTTGTTGAGAACTAGAGGCAAAGTCTGTGGGATGGGAATAGCCAAATGGGTGTATCCACCCATCCTTCTGCATGATAGCCCACCCATGGTCAATGCTTTATGCCATTTAGTTGTTGCCTTGTTTTTGTTTGTTTGTTTGGTTTTTGTTGTGGTGTTGTTTTTGTTTTTCTATATGGAAACATCCAACATCTTCTTATATAGTGTTGGCCCAAATCCCACAGGCATCATCAAGTTGTCATGTGCACTCAGTTACTAGGGCTATTCTCAGACTTCCAATCTTTTTTTCTTCTTTTTCTTTCAAGAATCAGTAATAGGCTCAAGGAGACTTAAATAGGATGCTCCACAAAAGATGAATGGTGAATCAACCAGAACCCGTCCAAGAAGTGAACCAGCCTGGTGTGGGGCAAGACCAGATGCTGGAATGTCCCTCAGCTCCTTTTAGGGCTAGCAGACTCAGGAGGGCTCCACCCTTTGTCATAGTCTTGAAATTCTTAGTAAAATTGGAACCAAGATGTAGCTGGTCCTGTCCCCTCATTCACGCAGGCAATGTCCTCCCTTTCTTAAATCTTTCAGCAGTGTCCCAGCAAGGTTCCAGCCCACATCTGCAGGCCTTGTGCCAGGGCTGGCTGCACTCCAGGCAGCCTGGTTATGGAGGGCTGTGCACGGGAGCCATGACTTCTGACTAAGCCCAGGCAGCCAGTGTGGGATGTCAGGCCAGTGCCTGCCCTTTTCCCACTGGGGACAGCTGGACTCTATCCAAAATCTGATGCTCTTCCTTTCCTCTTCTCAGAGGAGCAGTAACTCGGTTTGAGGGAGCTTCAGACCTCAGTTACCATGCCTTGCTCTTCCCGTTTCTGTGTGGGAGCTGAGGCAGCTTTCCCAGGACCTAGCAGCACTCAGCAGGAACATTTCGGGGGGGGGGTGCTTTGCAGGCCCCAGTTCTCAGCTCCCAGGCATCAGAGAGTGCTGGAAGAGACCATTGCACCTCCCCACTTTCACTTTCAGAATGTCCATGCCTCACCCCCCTTGGTTACTCTAGGTCAGTACAGTCCAGCCAACAGGTGCTTGTCTTTCTCTCTTGAGGACACCACATGCTCCTGCTCTTACAAAGTTCAGGCTCTGCAGGACCAGAGAGGCAAGACTCCCCGCCCCACTTCCCCCACAGTAAGCTGTGGAATCCATGGGGCTTCCCGGAGGGGAGGGGAGTTGCCTCCCCCCCCCTTACAGCATAAGTTTGGAGATCTCTGATTTCTTTGGCTTTGTTTAGAGTTCAACAGCGCCGCCTCCTGGTGCTTCCCTATGAGTCACCTTAGGGGAGATGGCATAGGGTGTTACTCTGTCTGTCTGTCTGTCTGTCTGTCTGTCTGTCTGTCTCTCTCTCTCTCTCTCTCCTTTATGTTTTGGACCCACTCCTCCGCATTCTCAGTAAGTGGATAAGGGGAAAAGGTGGCAAAATCGACAGAATCCCATCTCCTCCTCCAAGCTCTCCCCACCCTGCGGGTCTACAGGGCTGCCCCTCTTCAACGCCCTTTGCTACACAAGTGACACTTATATACATTTCTGTATCAGTCTGATCTTTCAGCCAAATGGAAAAATCCTTAACAGATTCTAGTGGGATCCGCTTGAAGCCCATAGCGCCTGCCTCTCCCAGAGGAGGGCTTCTCTTTGGGGGTGGTGAGATGGACTGTACCTCTGTGAAGCAGAACAGAAACAGACCAAATTGTCTAAAGTTCCCCCCAACACGCCCGCCCCTACGGAGCTCAGCAGAAATTTGCCTGCCACGACTTCTGAGAGGTGACAGGACCTTGGAGCATAACAGTATCCAGGAGACTTTCCCACGCGATAAGGTCTGGCTTTGGCTGCTTGTGTTCAGGGACTCCTGTGTCCCTAGTTGAGCAGGGATAGGGAGGTGGGGTAAGGGGGGTGTCAGTGTTAGGATGTTAGGTCCTCCCGGCTTCCTCTATCATTGTCGCACCCATACCCTCTGTCTTTGGGAGCCCAGCTCACTCCAGTTTCCAGAGCTAAGCCCCTAGCCCTGGGCGGGGTCTAGCTCTCTCCTTGCGATTGTGTCTTTGGGGACGTCTACGCCCTAGGCAGCCCCTCCCAAAGTCCTCCTCTTGACGATAACCTCCCAGAGTCCTGCACGTCCTGGGCACTACATCCTTTCACCCTTCTTCATTCACAGCCTTCGTCCCTCACCCAGTGTCGTCTTCCCAGAGTTCTGCAATCCAGGCTGTCCTTGAGATCGGTTTGTACAGCAAATTTATGAAGAAAAAGAAAGAGGACCAAGAGACTAGGAGGGGTTGCGGATTAAGTCCCTTTTAGGGCTGCGAACCTGGGGCCCCGCGTGGAAGGAGCCCGACAGTCGCCTTGCTGACAAAAGGGCAGTCCTCCCGTGGCGTCTGCGCCCTGCGACCCCGCCCGGGGACCGCCCAGCGCCTGGGCTGGGTTTACTCATCCTGGAGAGGTAGGTGATCCCAGGCGCGAGGGCGGGCGCAAGGCGTCCGGAGAACCCAGTAATCCGAGAATGCAGCATCAGCCCTTCCCACTAGGCACTTCCTTCCTTTCCCCGAACGTTCAGAGAGGGAGGGCTGCGCACTTATAAACTCAGGCCAGGGCCTACCCGCATGTCAGAGGCTGCTTCACTGGGGCTGCGCGCCGCGGCCCGTAGCCTTAGCTCTGGGACTGACGCAAGCGGCTGTAACTGCCGGCGCCCTGCGCGTCTCAGCCCCGGCCGGGCTCTAGCCCTGTCGCGGTGTCTGAGCTATCTCTGACCCCTACTCGCGAGGAGCGGGGACAGCATGCTCCGTGTCCTTCTCCTCAGCGTTCTGGCCCCCGCCACCCTGGGGCTTCGGGCGCCCCCAGAACCGCAGCCCCGCGGCAGCCAGTGCGTTGAGCACGACTGCTTTGCTCTCTTCCGGGGCCCCGCGACATTTCTCGCCGCCAGCCAGGCCTGTGAGCGCCTGCGAGGCCACCTGATGACTGTGCGCGCTCCTCAGTGGCAGCTGATGTCATCTCCCTGTTACTGAGCGGCGACGGCGGCAACGGCTCTCGCCTGTGGATCGGCCTGCAGCTCCCGCCCGGCTGTGGCGACGCAGGGTACCTTGGTCCCTTGCGCGGCTTCCAGTGGGTTACGGGCGACAACCACACCAGCTACAGCAGGTGGGCGCCGCTCCACCAGGACCCGACGCCTCTCTGCGGTCCGCTTTGCGTCTCTGTCTCCGCGGCCGGGCCCCAGGCGCCGGGCGAGCAGGCCTGGGAGGAGCAGCGGTGCACCACAGAGGCTGATGGCTTCCTTTGCGAGTTTCACTTCTCAGCCTCCTGCAGGCCCCTGGCTGTGGAGTCTAGTGCCGCGGTGGCCGCCAGCGTCTCCATCGCTTACAGCACCCCGTTCGGGGCCCGCGGCGCGGACTTCCAGGCGCTGCCGGTGGGTAGCTCCGCCGCAGTGGCGCCCTTGGGAGTGGAGCTGGTGTGCGAGGAGGGGCCGGGGGAGGCCGAGGCGCGCTGGGGCCGGGAAGTGCCAGGCGCCTGGGACTGCGGCGTGGAGAACGGCGGCTGCAAGCACACGTGTAACAGAAGCGCCGGGGCGTCGCGCTGCCTCTGTCCCGCCGACTCTACCCTGAATGCCGACGGGCGCTCCTGCGCCGCGCCTGGGGAGCACTCGTGCGACAAACTCTGTGAGCATTTCTGCTTCCGCAACCCGGACGTGCCCGGCTCCTACTCATGCATGTGCGAGACTGGCTACCAGCTGGCTGCGGACCAGCACCATTGCGAGGACGTGGACGACTGTATGCAGGTGCCCAGTCCGTGCCCTCAGCGCTGTGTCAACACGAAAGGCGGTTTCGAGTGCCACTGCCACTCCGGCTACGACCTGGTGGGCGGCGAGTGCTTGCAGTCCGTGGACCCGTGCATCGGGACTAACTGCGAGTACCAGTGCCAGCCTGTGGGCCAAACTGGCTACCGCTGCGTCTGCGCAGAGGGCTTCGTGCCCGACCCGCACGACCCCCACAGGTGCCAGATGTTCTGTAACCAGACTTCATGCCCAGCTGACTGCGATCCTAACACCCCAGCTCGCTGCCGGTGCCCTGAGGGCTACATCCTGGACGAAGACTTCATGTGCACAGACATCGACGAGTGCGACAATGGCAACTGCCCCAACACAGGTGCGTGCCGCAACCTCCCTGGTACCTACGAGTGCATCTGCGGGCCCAACTCGGCCCTTGCCGGCCAGACTGGCACCGACTGTGACCCTATCAAGGTGAGCGGTGGCGACGACGGCGGCTCTGGAGAGCTTCCGGTCAGCCAGACTCCCAGGGCCACGTTGAGCCCGTCGCCTGCAGGGTCTGTACATTCTGGGGTGCTCATTGGCATCTCCATCGCTAGCTTGTCTCTAGTGGTGGCGCTTTTGGCACTCCTCTGCCACCTGCGCAAGAAGCAAGGGGCCACGAGGGCCGAGCTGGAGTACAAGTGCGGGTCCCCAGCCAAGGAGGTTGTGTAGCAGCACGTGCGAACGGAGCCAACGCCTCAGAAACTCTGAGAGGCCTCCCTCCCTGGCCCCAGGTGTTGGCTCGGCCTTTCCTTCCCTCCTGTGCCTCATTCCTCTGCTCTCTTCCCCAGCCTTACTCTCTGGCCACTCTTAGCTGGCATCAGAACTGGAAAAGATCCCTCACCCCTTTTTTCACTGATTCCATGAATAGTTGGGGAGAGGGAATTGGGAGGAGGATGCACCTCAGTTGCTACCATGAGGTCACCAGACAACTGGGCAGAGATGGCAATTTTACAATGAAGACAGAGACTGCAGAGTGTCCCATGCCTTCCCCATGGGGTACAAGAGGGGTTATTTGGTCCACAGTCTTTTGGGCAGATTATGATCTAATGGACTAGTGAGTGTAATCGTGTCATCGATGATGACCAAGATATTTATTTTTTAAGTACTTAGGACATTTTTTCTTTTTCTTTTTTCCCTCCTGTATGTCTTCATACCCACTTTTGAGTCCCGCCCGCCCCTCTTTTCTCTCTCTCTCCCTCTCTCTCTCCCTCTCNCTCTCTCTCTCTCTCTCTCTCTCTCTCTCTCTCTCTCTCTCTCTCTCTCTCTCCTTCCCTATCTATATATTTATGTACTCCCACTTGTCATGTGGCAGTTAATGTATCTTGGTGAATTTTTTTCAGCCTCCCGCATTTATGAAACCAAGCCTTATTTCCCCCTCATTCCTCCCAATTTTCCCTTTGCCACCCACCCGAGCCACCCTACCTGTGTCTGACTCTACTTCTGCTCTTAGCTGTCTGCCTAGTCTGAACTCTTATGTGAAACAGAAACAAAAACACTAAAAACTAGAATGATTGGGATTTGTTCTTTCACCAGATTTGCTAATTTATCCTGAATTTTCAGGCTTCCAGAGTGATAACATTTTTAAAAAGGCTAAGATGAGAGGCATTACTTAAATTAATGTTGCTGGACTGTCATAGAAATTTGACTCAAGGCGTTTTTATTTTTATTTTTTAAATAGTGATTTATTATTGTTATTGTTTTGGTTTGGACTGAAAGATAGTAATTGTTAAGCTTCTCATTCAGTTGCCTTTTCTATTATTATTATTAGTAGTAATAGTAGTAATAGTAGTTATTTTTAACAGTGCTGAAATGTTCACATGATTGCTCTAGATTGAGAGGAGAAGGAAGCACCTCCTAGGAAACAGTACAAGAAAGTTTTGGGCTGTATAATTCATGCCAATTACCATTTTGACTCTCACTGTTTTTGTAATTTGCAGGCAAAAATAAAACCAGCTCTTCTTTTTTTGGGGGGTAGGGGGGATTTAGGGCTAGAGCCTCACCTTGATCAAGCCCTTGAGAATTTCTTCCACTTCAGAGGGTCCTTCTAACCTGAAGTAGCTAGTTAGAAATATAGAAATTTGGGCTTCACCCCACGTACAGCAAGAGAATGTGTATTTTAACAAGATCTGCAGAGGATTTGTCTGCCCGTTAAGTTTGAGGAGAACTGTTCCAGTCAGCTTCCATCTTTCTGGAATACACTAAATATGGATTAGTAGCAAGTTGCAGGCTGAGTCAGCCCCCTTATTCTCAAGAAACTGAGGAATTTTCATGTCATAGCTTTGCTTTCCAATAGAAAAGACTAGGTACACACTTTTCAACATTGCTACACAGGGTCTTTGGTTCAACTAAGCTAGGAATGAAATCATTTATGGGAAAAAAAGTATCATATAAGTGTATCTTTCCTGACACAAAGATTTTCCTTTACTATTTTGTAAACTCAGTATATTTGTACATAGTTATTTATTTATTGGAGATAAACGAGACCACAGGCAAAATCCTTGCTTATGACATCACATGGAGAAAATAAACAAGTAAAAGTGCATTCTTGGGTTGTGTGTCTGTTCACCTCCCCTCCCCCAGTCCCGCATTTTATGTCATTAAGCAGAGTTGGTGAAAGATGTAAATACCATGAAATGCATTTAAAGGCTGTTCCACACCCATCACTAGCCTCCATCTGCTCATAGCATCATCTCTGACTTTCAAAGGTCTTTCCAGAGGAAATTATTTACACTGTAGAAGGACTTCATGTTATGTCTGTGTGCATACATATTTGTTTTTTCCTTCTGTAATCATAACAACTTCATACACAGGATTTGTGTCCATGAATTTTAAAACACATTATAGGGTTATTTATTGGGATAAATTAAAGAAACAGTCTGGGGCATCTCTAGAATCCCAGCTGTGTGTCCTGCACATGGTTTGGTATTACCTTCTTTCTGAGATATGCAAACAACAGTCATGAAGGGGTCTCAGTCTGCGGCTCAAATTCCAACAATTGTTTCCTCATAATGAGGTCTCATACAGTATTAAATCATTCTCATTTCTGTTGATGATTAGAAACACTATATTTTTAAATATACATATTTCTTGGGAACCTTTTCCTGGATTGGTGGAACTGACTGAATTTTATATGCAGCACTCTGAAATTTTTCATGAAGCAGAAGATGGGAGGAAATGGAGTTTGCCAAATATTCAAATATTTTTATGTATATGGGTAATTTCTTAGTTTTAAGCTGAGTAGTTACTGTTGTAAATGCGCAGCTGGAGATTTCAACATCCATCTTGGATGAAATTGACAGCTTTGGTGTGTGTGTGTGTGAGGGGGAGTGAGAGGTGGTGCTACTATGAGCAGTGCCCTACGCAGATAACTGATTGAGAAATGTTGCCCTTAGGAGTTTGGTAGACTAACAGAAAACCAGATTCAGTAGCAGGTACCTATGAAAGAAGAACATGCTGAGTGGCGCAAAGCAGTCAGTCACAGATAAATTGTGCTGGGGGTCTGGAGGAGAGAGGTGTACCATACTAATCTATCCTCACTACCCAGCCTTCCATTTTGCAAAAGAGTCTGCTCCCAAGTAGTTGTCAAATTGCCTTTCAAAGGTCCATTGTTTTAGGTTTTCTTCCTCCAGAGGGGTATTTTCTTAAGGACACAAGAAGACCAAAACACACTTTTGAGACCCAGAGGCAAGAGCCCTTACTGGGGCATCTTGGACCCCAGAACACTAGTGGGCTGGAAGCCCAGACCCTCCATATCTTCCTCACTTCTTGTCCCCTAGGAGATCAGCATGTCTGTTTACAGGCTTCATCTGAACTTGAGATTCTCAAAACAACTAAGAAACCACAGACCCTCTCTGAGAAAGACACCAGGACCATATAAACAGTTAGTTAAAAGAAACTATCCCCCAGCATTTAAAACCAGGATAGATATTTTGGAACAGTGTCTATGAGTGAACCTATATAGTCTCTGCTTTCTGTTCATATTGTTAGACATCTAGGTCTGAGGGGGAACCTCAAACCTCAACAAGTGATACATGTTTGCAGATGATGTTCCAGGGTGGGCAAGCCCTAGAAGAGAAGGCTAAGGTGGTATTTCTGCATAAGTCAGAATTCGATTTTATGAGTCAAATAGCTTTTCATTCTTCCCCTCAGACCTAACTCCTTTTCTTAGATTAGTTCAGCAAATGTTTATTGAGCATGTACTCTGTTCCTGGCATGATGATAGGCATGCCCACAAGTCTCTGCCTTGAGAAGCTTACACTCTGGAGAGGAAAAGAGACATAAAACAAATGATTGCCCCTAAATTGCATTTAACTTGGAAACAATGATAAGAGCTGGGGAGGAAAAGCATAACACAACACAAAATCAGGATTTAGATTTAGAGGACTAGCCTTTGATGAGCTGACTTTAGTGCTAGACCTGAAGGAGGAGCATGGGTTAGTCAAATGCAGAGTGGAGAGGAGAGCAGTCTGGTGGAAGGAACAGCACATGTAAAGGTCCTGCACTGGGAAGAGTCTTGGCAGAGGGCTTAGAGCATAGTGAGCAAAGAAGAGAGTGGCCAACATAAGGCTGAAAAAGTGGAACTGGGAGCTAAAAGTGGAGTAGGAGAGGGAATTGACTGTAGGCCAGAGTAAAGATATTGACTTCTAGGTGCAAGTGCACCATACAAGGAGTTTTAATAAGACTGTGCTGGTGTTTGATTTATGTGCTGAAATTGTTTGCGAAGGTAACAATTCTAGACTTATTTATATGTATCCATGGGCAGATAGCTGCACAGTTTCCCTTATAAGTGTGGAATGTGTGTGTCATCTGGATTTGACACCTGGTGGTCACATGACCATGAGTGCCATGAAACCCCTCTAAGGCTGTAAAAACAGGTGCTCGCAGTGCCACCTCACAGGGTTTCCATGAGGATTAAATGAGGTGAGTTAGCACAGGTTCTGGCACACAGCAGATTTCCAATAAATGCTAGCTTATGTGTCATTAAGTTAGTAGATGCATTAGTGAATAAATAAAAAGGTTATGCTGAGATCTTGAGGGTTTTGAGGGCAAGTTCAAGGTCGTACAGAAAGTGGAAAGTATTCTTTCAAGGCAAGGTGTAGTCACTTAGAAGTAATGCTGCCAACCCTAGAGGAAGAGTCATGGTGGGATTTGGGACATCAAGCAGAACTTAAAAAGGAAGAAGTCAGCACAGGGGGAGAAGCAGCTCTCAGAGCTGTAAAATCCTACTTCCAAGGTCTATTGTTCCTGCTCACAAGGCCCATCAAAGGACTGATTGACTTGCTCCTCACAAGGCCCCTCTACTGTGCTCCCAGGAAAGACACAGAGAAGGAGAGAACACACTCCAAAGTGCCCTCCTTGCTTTCTCAGGGCCCAAAGGAGAAAGAGAAAAGTTGCTTCAGCCAAGCAGAACCCAGAGCTACACCACCTCCACAAACACACCCTCACCCTAACCCTCAACACCACTTGGGGCCTTCAAGTTTAACAATGCCAAAGAAGAACCTGCAAAAAAGGAAAGAATCGTCAGTTCAAAATGTTGCACAGGCCCAGTTGTGCACAGGCTTTCACAATGGGACTTTGGGGCAAACTTCTAACCTTTTCAATCATCCGCCACACTGGCATTGCAAGTGGGTGTTAGGCCTGGGCATCTAACCCATGAGGGATTAGACACCTCTGTGACGCCTTCCCATGACTGAATTTCCCCTGCTGCACATCAGAGGCTGCCCACTCAGAAACAGTGAGTGCTGCCATCTTCATCTTCTCAGGGAAGGCAGCATCGTCAACTAAACTGTATGGACCTTTTGGAACTCTCCATCAGGAAAATGTACTCACATTTGCTTCTCTTCCTCTTTCTCTGTGGGGGAAAGATGAACCTAAACTCTAAGTGAAGATTGCTCATTGATTAGGGACGTAGAAGCATTAAGAGCTGCAGACCAGGAAATTGCTGGCTATTAGGACCAGGCCCCCAGAAGAGCTGGCTGAGCCCAGACAGTGGTTACTGCACTTTACTTTAATTCTGTTTTAAAATTATGATATAACTGACATATAGTAAATTTCACTCATTTTAGTGAACAGTTCCATGAGCCCTGAAGACCACATATACTTGTGGAACTACTGCCATCATCAATATATAGAATTTTCTTATCACACTAGAAAGTTCACTGGTGCCCCTTCCCCTTTGCTGCTACTGGACTAGTCTACACACACAGAATTAGGCCTTTTTTCCTCCCTGAGGTTTGCTACGCTCCATTCCCCTTTAGGATTTCCCCATACCAGTGGTCTTGTTTTCATGTTTTAATTACAAAGATGAGCTTTTCTAAGCAATGACCAGACATCCTGACTATCTTTACTTTCAGCGAACAGGTTTTAATGAAACACAGCTCATGTGTCTCCCAACATCCTGCTCATTCACCCCAAGTTGTGCACTTGTGCTGCCAAAAATCCTGGAAGCCCACCAGGAGTATATAAATAAGCAAAAAAACAAGACAGCAATCCCCACATTATGCAATTTCAGGGAGGAAAGGGGACTTGAGGGGTGCAATTAAGTAAGATATGTGCAAAAGAAATGAGGGTGCTGCCCACTTGGATCCCACGTGGCAAACCACTCTATTCCTTCCTGAGACTCCTGGGTGACATTTGACATTCTGGATGTGGACAGGGCCGGGTGACAGAAGATTCCCCAGTTCTAACTTTTGCTCTTATGTTAAATGTGGGTTAATTATTATATCATCTCTTCAAGAAAAACAGAAGTTACAAAGAATATAACATTCTTTGTACATTTTTACCATGGTCATGCTCAGTGGGGGATCCTCAAGCTCCTTTGAAAACACATCCCCTGATTTTTTCAGGCATTTCTTCATAAAATAATACAGGTAATGTCCAGCTCTTTCTTTCTTTCATTTACAGAATGTGTTCAGTGCTATCTCTTTTTGTTTTGAGAGACCTTTCTCCTTTTTTTTTGGTCAGCAGATTCAGATGTAGGCAAACAACCAGTTTCCTCTCACAAGAGAAATGAAATATTTTTTTAACATCAAATTTTAACAGAATCAAAATTCTTTTAGGAGTGTTTTGAAAGTGTGATTGTGAAAGACAAAAGAACCTTGGGGTGCCTTGCTCCAAGTCATGCCCCTGGAAATAGGGAACAAACAACAGAAGGGTTTCAGGGATCCAGGGGAAACAGCAAGGTTCTAACCTGGGGTACATGATGATAATGAAGCCCCAGGGGGGTGGCACAGACCAGATATTTCCCTGATTCCCTGCCTGAAATAAATCTTTTTTTAAGCAGGACATTTCATGGCCAATATTATCCTGAGATGAAACCTGCTCTCTTCTGCTTATTTGATGTATGGCAGCTGCTGTCCATCACTCTCCTAGCATTCTCCTTTTGTCTTCACACTGATGCTGGCCCTAACTGCTTACTCAAGGCTGAGGGACTCAAGCAGACCTTTGTTTAGCTGCTCAGCCAGAAAGAGAGGGGCTTTTCTACAGCCTCCCCATTCCTCCCCTCTTCTTTCTGCCTCCTGCCATAACATACTCCATTTTCTT